ACATGTGGGAAAACTCCTGTGGACTGGTCTGTGCTACTTTACAACTAAAGCTTTAGATAGAGAGAACCCCAAAGAGCTGACCTTGGGTCTGAAAGATCAGTTACTCCAGCTGAAGCCCAACCCCACCATATGAAATTATTCTCCCTCTCCCCAAAAATTCCTGGAACATTGTGTCTGGTTCAGTCATTGTACGTAATTGTATTATGTACTATGTCTATATTGCACCTTTTCCTCCCCTCTAAACTAGTAGAATGTGAGCTCTTTGAGGGCAGTATCCCTTTTGCCCAGTGTAACAATAACCAGAAATGAGGGTTCTAGGTTGTCTATGGTGGTTTAGCCTCTTCCTTTCTACCAAGCAGCCACTTTGCTTTGGATCTATGCATGCACTGACTAGATTCAGCCCTGGGGGAGGCAGACCTTCAAACACAGGGGCTAAGCTCTTTGTCTCACATTTTTTGGCTCTTTAAATGGCCACCCTGATACTCCAAGGAAAAATGTTTAAAGCTTAGTGTGGGACTCATTTTACTCCAAGGAAAAATGTTTAAAGCTTAGTGTGGGACTCATTTTCCAGAGTTTCTCCAAAGGAGGATCAATATGTGGTATAAAACAGATTTTTTTTTTAAATTTCCTTTACATACACACACACACACATACACACACACAAGAAACACAAAGATTCACAAGCATTCATTGACAGAGATTCAAAAGAGGATACAGTAACTAATAAATACTGAGAAACTCTCCTGGGCAGTTGAAACAAAACTATCTTGGTATTAAGCAAAGTATGGGATGGTTCACTTGGCATTTCACGTATCACCTCAGCCCTGCACTGTACAAAAACACTCCCTCCATTCTAATTTTAAGGGAGTTATTTTCTTGGGTAACTATTAAACAACATTGGGAATAACTTTTTTTAACCTTTTCCCAAATTCGTGTTAGAACATAAGGTTTTTAAATGCAAGGACTATCAGGCTTTTTTATTTATATCCCTATGCTTTGCTCAGTACTTGGCACAGAGCAAGCACTTAATAAATGCTTTTTCATTCAAGTATGCATATATTCATTCATCCATTCCCTGAACTGATGTCAAGAATAGGGCCAAACTAGCATCACAATCTTCTATTCTTAGAAGGTTAGAAGGTTGCAGCTGTGGGGGTTTGGATGATTTATTTTCTTGCTATCACAATGCCTTGCTATTTTAAGTAAATTCTTCTTCTTCTATAATTTCTTATCACATAAATAATAGCAAAAACTGGTCTTTTCGGGAGGAATTTCAAGCAAGAATAAGAGCTCAGAGCATTACTGCAAGTAATTTGAAGTCAAAGCTAAATAGATTCTCAGGGTATGTTTCTGTGTGTGTGAATAATCAGGTGACTTTTAGGAATTTGTTTTTTAAAACAGGGCAGGGGTTTTTAACCTGGGGTCCAAGAACTGTTGGGGTTTTAATATATTTTGACAAATGTATTTCAATATAATTGGCTTTGTAATTCTATGTGTTTTATTTTATGCATTTAAAAATATTATTCTGAAAAGATACCTATAGGCTTAACCAGACAGCCAATGGAGTCCATGACATAAACAAGGTTAAGAACCTCTAACCCAGAGGTTTCTTTGGTATTTACACTGAATACCTATAATCCTATAAAGCAATGAAGCCTACTAATATTCAAAAACTTAAAATTTACCCTATCTTTCAACATTTGATCATAGAAAAAAATAGAACTGGCTGAATGGAATTATAGAATTATAGTTCCCATTTCAAAAGTTATATAGAGGCTATAATTGTGGTTACTATAGCTTTAAGAGTCAAATTAAATGTTGAAGAAATGGAAGTTTTGATTGTGAGTTTGGGGAGACTTTTAAGAGTTTTTGTTTAAGGGAACTGGAATGGAATGGAAAAGCATTTATTAAGTGTGAACCATGTGTGGAAGACACTACTTTCCTGTCATGGCTGTAGAGGAGCTAGTGAATGTAAATAGAAAGAGAATGAAGAGGCCTGATTTCTTGATGAAACTGTTTTAACTTTTACCTTGAAAGGAAGACAAAAAGAATTCTTACAAAGAGACTTTCTAGATTAGTTATCCCGAATTAACTAATTCATTGTGAAATTGATTGTAAGTATGATCTCAGAAGTAAAGAGTCACTGCAGCAGTCTTGTATCCCACATCTCAGCTACTAAAAATCAGGACTCAAAGGATGGGATTTGTCATCTTTCTCCCCACACCCCCACCTAATCTCAATCAGTAATTCAACAAATTTATACATATATATATATATATAGAAAAAGAATGCTATGGATATAAAACATTATACATGTACATGTATGTGTATATATGCATAGAAATACATATACGCGTATAATGCACTATGCTAGGCTCCTTTGAGAGGCACAAAGAATATAGTTTCATCCCTTACAGTTCAAAGGACACACATGTTCCAACCAACCTGATCAATATTACTCCATTTCACTTATAAGAAATACCAGGCATACTGGAATTTTTAAAGTTTTTTTCAGCTAAAAAAAAAAATAACTTCTCTCTCTCTCACTTTTACCTTCATTGGAAAAAAAAAGGAAAAAGAAAAACAAAATCCTTTTAACAAATATACAGAGTCAAACAAAAGCAATTCCTGCACCAGCCAAGTCCAAAAGTATATGACGCATTCTGCACCCTGAATCTATCATGTCCCAATCAAGAAGTGGGTAGCATGCTTCATTACTGATCCTTAGGAATCATAATTGGAAACTCTATTGATCAGAGTTCTTAAGTCTTTCAAAGCCATCTTTACAATGTTACTGTCAAAATTGTTCTGTTTCTGTTCATCTCACTCTGATTCAATTCAAGTTATCTTAGGTCCTTTTTTGAAACAGTCCACTGCAACATTTCTTAGGGCACAGTAGTATTCCATTACATTAATATACCATAATTTGTTCAGCCATTCCCCCAATTGGTGGACACCATCTTCGCTTCTATTTCTTTGCCACTACAAAAAGAGATGTTATAAATATTATTTTATGTGTGGGTCCTTTTCCACTTTTTCTGATCTCTTTGGAGTTTAGGCCCAGTAGTGATATTGCTGGGTCATAAGGTATATATAGTTTAATAACTTTGGGGACAGAGTTCCAAATTGCTTTTCGAAATGGCTAGACTAATTCACAGCTCCATCAATAGAGTAGCAATGCACCTATTTTCCTAAAGCCCATGTAACACTTGTCATTTTTCTTTTTTGTCATATTTGCCCATTTGAGGGATGAGGTGGAACCTCAGAATGGCATTAATTTATTTAATAATTAGTGACATGAAGCAGGCTTCATATGATTCTTTATGATTTGGTTTTCTTCCTTAGAAAATTGGCTATTCATATCCTTTGACCACTTATCAATTGAGGAATGGCTATTATTCTACTCATTTGAATATGTTCATTTATATATCTTGGGAAATGAGGCCCTTATCAGAGAAACTTGGAACAAAGACTTTTTTTTTCCAACTTACCTGCTCCCCTTAAAATTTAAGCCACATTGGTTTGGTCAAAAAACTTTTTAATTTTGCGTGGTCAAAATGATTCATTTTATCTTCTGTGATCCTCTCTATTCCATGTTTGGTCATAAACTGCTCTATCCGTAGCTCTGAAAAGTAATTTCCTCCCTGTTCTTCTAATCTGTTTATGATGTTATCCTTTAGATCTAAGTCATGTACCTATCTGGAGTTTATCTTGGCATATGGTGATGAGGTGCTGGTCTACACCTATTTTCTGCCAGACTGCTTTCCAGTTTTCCCAGTACTTTCTGTCTAATAGTGAGTTCTTACTCCAGTAACCCATGTCTTTGGGTTTACTCATTACCATGTTATTATGTTCTCTTTCTTCTGTATGTTGTGCACATAATCTACTTCACTGATCAGCCTATTTTTTAACCAGTACCAAATCAGGTTGATGACCATTATTGCTAGGCCTCCCTTGTCTCTCTCTCTCTCTCTTTTTTTTTTTTTTGTTATTTCTCTTGAGACCCTTGACCTTTTGCTCCTCCTATTTCATTTTGATTTTTTCTAACACTATAATATTTTTGGTAATATGACATGGGGCTGAATAAGTAAATTAATTTAGGTAGCATTACCATTTTTATCTTATTAACTTGGCCTAACCCTGAGCAATTGATATTTCTCCATATATCTAGGTCTCTATTTCTGCAAAGATTGCTTTGGATTACTCTCCCTTTCCATCCTGCTTCCTCTCATCTCCATGACTTTCTCTCCAGTCTCTCAAGCCTAAAATGGACTGACTGCCTTTCCCAAACCTGACACACCCTCCTTCCAATCTTGATCTTTTGAAGTCTCATCCTTTCTTCAAGGCCCAAAATGTAGGCCAACTGCTCTAGAAATTTTCCCCTAAATTCTCTCCACATGGAGAAAAAATGATCTCCCCTCCATATTAGATCAGATTGTAAGCTCTTTGAGGGCAGGGACTCTCTTTTGCCTCTTTTTCTATCTTCAGCACTTAACACAGTGCCTGGTATATAGTAAGTGGTTAATAAATGTTGATTGATTCCCTATAACATTTAAACTGCTCTTCTCTTTTGCACTTATCTCACTCTTTCTCCTATAAAATTATGTCTGCTTTTTCTTCTCCTCATTACATTCTAAGCACCTTAAAGAGCAGCATTTGCAACAAATCTCTCTCGACCTCCCAAGGTTTTGTAGAATGCCTTGAGTATTGTAAGACTTAACAGACCTTTGTTGACATAAAATGAAGAGAGTTGCTGTCAGGTCCCCTGTAAACAATCTCCCTGGGCTCCATCCTGAGCAAGAGCTCAGAGGCAGCTCCCCCCAGTGTCCAGCGGGCAGTATGCACAGATGCTTCCTCCACACAGCAGAAGCACATGTCTGGCCTTCTGGTAAACTTCGCATAGTCCCACCCGGGGTGGCCACACGGAGGCAGCAGGAGCCCAGCAAAGGACCAACGTGGCTCCTCCTCCAAGGCCTTTGGGCACCCTCCCCCTCTCCCGACCACTACAGCTCTGCTAAACCTATTGAGTTTAAGAAGAAACAGAGAGCACCTTTCCAAAAAAAAAAAAAAAAAAAAACCAGCCTGTCGCGGCTGCAGCCGCGCAGTCCTACTTCCCCCCAGGACCGAGACCATGGCGAGCTTGCCTAGGAAGCTGGAGCTGTTCTATGACGTGCTGTCCCCATATTCCTGGCTGGGCTTTGAGGTGACTGGTTCAGAGGGTTGCGGGGTCCCACTTCAGGAACCGACACCGACAGATAGATAGGGGATTTGCAGAGGGGGCCTGAGGCGTAGCCCATGTGGGAGGGCACTGGGGCGAAGGTAAAAACGGCCGACTTCCGGCTACTAGGGCAGCTGGGTTGGTGATTGGGAGTCTGGGGAAGGTGGATCAGTGCTGAAGGTTACTGGATGAGCGCTGGGAATCAAATGGACCTTGTTTATTTCTCCTGCTCTACAGAATGGAAAAGATAAAAGAAAATTCAACTAGCAGAAATTATGATCCCTCAACACTCGCCACAACAATTCTTTGTCTCAACTTTCTTATCCAGGCACTCAGCTTCTGCCTCCTTTCTCCCCACCACTATTTCTACCCCTCTGGGGAGGAGGGAAAAATCATTAGAGCAATGGGACTTTCATCCCAAACAGTAAATCAGGCCCTGACTCTGTGGAGAGATTGTTCCCCAAACCCCTGATAAATGAAATCAGCTCCCAGAGCCCCTAGCTAGAGAAATTATCCCAACTTGAGCCAACAGGTTCCCCTACCCTGCCCTGGAGGACACTTGCCCAGTTATCAGTGACCCAGAAAAATTCACATCTTTATGGACCCAACCACTACCCACTCCACAGTCTTAAAAGCATACACACAGTCAGTGCGCAATCATTGTTATCTCCCTGGCAGGTCCTGTGTCGGTATCAGCACATCTGGAACATCGACCTTCATCTGTGCCCAAGCCTCATTGGAGGAATCATGAAGAACAGTGGTAGGGAAGTATCCCAAGGAAGGGAATGTAGTCAAAATGAGTGCCCGGGGAGGGGTTTTACAAAAGAACTGGCTCCAACTATGTCCTTACATTGCTGTCATCAAGTTTCTCCCTTATTTCCTTCTAAATCCCCAACCTATTGAATTTAAGGAGTTTTCTCACCAAAGACCTCAGTGACCTAACAAAACGGAAATTCCTTGAGGTCAGAAACTATATTCTTTTTGTCTTTGTACCTCCTTTGTGCCTTTGTACCTCCACATCCAAGCACACTGCCTTGTATTTAGTAAGTAGGTATTTAATAAATGTTTAGAGAAGTGAATTGAATGACTCACCCACAGGGAACAAACCACCTGCCTTGCTACCCCAAAAGGGCAAATACATGTTCGTGGACCTCCAGCACCTAAGGAAGTTTTACCAGGTTCCCATCCAGGTTCCCAAGGACTTCTTCTCCGTCATATTAGAAAAAGGTGGGTGTGAGTGGGTGTGGGAGGGTGAAGAAGAGGGGAGAAAGGGTATGAAGATGATGTATAGCAGGGCAGGGAAGCTAGGTTGAAGAAATATTGGATGAGAAGAGTCTGGGGTTACTAAAATTGAGCAAAAGGACTCTAGGATATACTGAAGGATATAGACAAAATGTTCTGGACAATCAGGACTATGTCAATAAGGAATTCTAGGGAAAAAAACAGAGGAAATGGGGAAAATAGAAGTTTTGGCATATAATGAATAGGGGAAAACAGGAAAAATTGATTTGGCAGGAGGAGGACCCAGAGGAAGAGGGTGTGCAGTCAGTGGAGAAGCAACAGAGATCCATCTATCTCTATGCAACAGAAGGAACTACATAATACCAGAACTACTTCTAGACTGAGAATCCAGTGAAACCTAGGTTCAAATCCTTCCCCTTAATATGTGCTAGGCATGTGACCATGGGCAAATCACTTGACTTTTCTAAGCCTCAGTTTCTTCATCTGTAAAATGGGGATGATAATACCCAATATACCTACCTCATGTGAAGTTCCAGTGAACAAATGCACTTTGCAAATCTTAGAGTGATGCATAAATCCAGGCAGTTGTTTTGTTGTTGTTATTGTTGTTCCCTTCTCTCCTATCTCTGGCTTCTTTCCCTCAGGGAGCCTGACTGCCATGCGATTCCTCACTGCTGTCAAGCAGGAGAATCCTGAGATGTTAGAGAGAGTGTCTCGAGAGTTGTGGATGCGTGTCTGGTCACGAGTGAGTTTCTTTTTTTTTAAATTGTTTTTCAATTATCAAAAATCTATTTTCTTTCCCACTTTTCCCCCTGTCCCACTAGAGATATAAATAAATAAACAAAATCCTTTGTAACAAACAAGGATTGTCAAGCAAAACAAATTCCTGGAGTGGCAATTATCCAAAAAATGCACATGACATTCTGCACCCTCAGTCCATCACCTCTCTGGCTAGAAGTGTAGGCATTATTCTGTACCATCAGTACTCGTGGTTGGTCGCCGCCTTGTTTAGAGTTTATCTTTATAAAACTATTATCAAGCATACTTTTTTCCCTCCCCTCTATCTACCCCCATTCATTGAAAAAGGAAAAAAAGAGAAAAAATTATAGAATCTTTTATTGCATAAACACAGTTAAAAAATTCTTATGTTAGTCATATCTAAAAAATGCATCTCATATTCTAAATATTAATTGATCATCTTTTTTCATAAAGTATGCAGCACTCTATCAGTCATCTTCAATTAGAGAAGAATTTATTAAGTTTATCAGAGTTTGTAAGTTTCAGAATTTTTCATTTTTAAATATAAGTAATTCTTATAATTCAGCTCACTTCATTCTGCATCAGATCCTAGAAATCATTCCATGTTGATTTTTAAATCATCTTTTTCTTCATTTCTTAATAAACATTAGTTTAACTCCTGGATTAACTTTCTAAAATCTCTAAAATAGGATGAGTTCCTCTATCAATAAGGAGATTGGATTCCTCTAATTATTTGCCTTTATAGTAGTCCTTCAGATTGATTTACATTAGCACCAGGATTTTCCCTGCCCCTATGTCCACAGCCATGTATATCTCCCTTATATCGCCTGTCCAGGACTTATCTCCCTTCCCCAACTGTATTCTATCCTTTATACCTAGGATGAAGATATCACTGAACCCCAGAGCATCCTGGCTGTGAGTATCCCAGCTCTGTCCCTATTTCCCCTAACTGAAGTCTGAGGGGCAGCTAAGTGGCACAGTAGGTAGAGTACCAGGACTACAATTAGGAAGACTAGAGTTCAAATTTGGCCTCAGACACTTACTAGCTGAGTGACCCTGGACAAGTCATTTAACCTATGTTTGCCTCAATTTCCTCATCTGTAAAGTGGGCATAATAATAGCATCTGCCTCCCAGTGAGGATCAAATGAGGTAATAAGGTAAATCACTTGACATATAGTAAGCACTATGTAAATGTTAGTTATTACCATCATCATCATCATCATTATTACAAATGAGTATCATTCTTGAGTGAAACATAGCATTTTGTTCTGGGGCAATAAGGTCTTCAGGAATCAAGGTACAGGTGACTGGCAGATAGGGAGCAGAAGGGCTTGGGCAGCAAAATCTCTGTCTAGTGAAATAGGAAGAGATCACAGTTAAAATGTATCTGAAAAGAGACCTCAGTGGTCAGATTCTCACTGACTGGCCAATAACGGGCCCCAACCAAGCCTCACTTGGTCATTGTTTGGGTTTTGTTGGCTCAGAGTGAGTGTAAATAGCAGTTATTTCTGTTCTGGCCAGAAACCCTGAGGGTCTTCCCCTCCCAGATTGATTTTTGGTTTTGAGTAAGTAAAAAAGGCCACTTTTTGCTTCATTTCTTACCTAGCCTTAATTACTGAATGGGTATTGCCTCAGACAAACTGAGACCTGGGAAAGACCTTAACTTAAAAAGGCAAAAGTCTCCCATTGCTTCCAGGGCCATCTCCAGCCGGTGGACTCAGATGGCTCTGGAGGAGACAGTGACACTGGTGACTTTGCACAGTCCTACCTCACTTAAGTCCAATTTACTTGCAAGTCAAGGCAACACCTTCCCTTTGAGATTGAAGGACAAACAACAACAAAAATAACATCAACAGTGGTAAAAAGAGGAGAAGGGCAGTGGAGTGTGTAGGAACACTCAGACAAGGAAAGGGGAAACATCCAGCAGTACCTTAGAGGAAGGGATGCCCATCTTGTTTAAAGTTCTAAGAACCTGCCTTGTACATGGAAAATCTGGAGGTGATACCACAAGAAATCAAAGGGATAAAATTTGTTTTATTTCTGGACCTGAAAGACAAACAAGAATAACTCAAAACAGTAATCTTCCTTTGGCCATGAAGAGGAGAACGCAAGCTTTCATAAGACAAGCCTAACAACAGATTGGATTCATTGAAGTGAAATAAGAAGGCAATCCTTAATCAGATTGAGTCAAACTCAGAGGTATATAGAGCTTTAAGGTTTACAAGCACTTTCCTCAAAAACAATTCCACAAATGTTATCCCCATTTTCAGATGAGGGAACTGTGGTTCTGAGCAGTCAAATGCCTTGGCCTGAATTCCACAACTAGTAAGTGGGAGAAGCAGGATTCCAACTCAGTTCCCCCATTCCTAGAAGAGCATCCTTTTCATTTGACCACTGTTACCATTTGCTAATGTTAAGCATGTGTCTTGATCATTTCTTGATAGCTCTGGGCTTAGAGCAGAAAGGATCAGGGACTGTAGCAAGGGTTACCATCTGAGAGACCAGGCTTTATAGACCAGGTCAGTTGCTGCTGTCCCTCATTACCTGGCCCTCTTCTCCAAGGTTTTCAAGATTCCCAATAGGAAAGAGAATGTAGCCCCTCCCTTGCTCCATGTTCCACTCAGCACCTTTATTATCTCAAGACTTCAGGAAAATGAAAAGTCATTCCTCTAAAGTTTGAGGACTCTTGAACTAAAAGGGAACAAAGAAGGGGGCAGCAAAGAATATTAGAAAATAAGTAGGTAAGTAAATAAATACATAAACAGAATATTAGACAGAATGATCCTGAACTAGGAGTTAGGAGACCTTTGTGACAAAGTCTTTGGCCTTGTGCAAATTACTTTCCTTTTCTGGATCTTAGTTTTTTTTATCTGTCAAAAGATAGAGTTGGACTAGATGTTCTCTTAAGTCCTATGAAGATCCAAAGTCAAGGTCAAGGTAATAGTCCTGATTTTCAGGAATCTTCATAGACAAAGTCAGAAATATATATTGTTTACTCCTGAGGTCACTCACCAGGAGGAGTTCAGATCTAGAGATTAACCCTCCCACCCCAACTCAGCTGTGGTCTGTTGCCTACCTCATTTCCATAGGCTGCAGAGAAAGCAGGACTTTCTAAAGAACAGGCTAAGAGTCTACTGGAAAAGTGTTCAACTGACAAAGTGAAGAGCAGTCTAAGAGAGACGACAGAAGCAGCCTGCAATTATGGGGTGAGGAGCCCTTCCGTCCCCCCACCACTTGCCTCAACACTCAACCCATGGTCCTTGAAGGAGCTCTAATGTGTCTTCAAATTTCTTCTCATAGGCCTACCTCCCAACATGGCACTTTGCCATTTCCCACCAGTCTCAGCCATCTTAAACCCATTAGAAGAAAGGAAATGAAGGAAATAGATAGGGATAGAAGGGATGAGATAGAAAGGGACCAATGTTAAGAGATAAAAAGACAGAGACTCTCCTGCCTATCTCCTGTGTGATCCTTTGCCATCTGCATTGATACTGGATCCCCTAGCCCCACTTTCCTTCTTTAATCTTAAGTCAACATTGACTCCCACCCTCCACTGTCCTCTTCCTTGTCATTTCTGTATTGTATTATGATCACTCTTTCTCCAGGCCTTTGGGCTTCCCATCACAGTGGTCCATGTGGATAACAAATCCCACATGCTCTTTGGCTCTGACAGGATGGAGCTGCTGGCCCATCTGCTAGGTGAGTTGGAGACACTTTCCCTTACCATTGATAAGACATTCCTTATCCTACAGCCCTGCCTACCTACCAAACTTACCACTGAGGAAGAGGTTAGAGATAGCAGGCATTCTTGAGCAACAAGTTTTCATTAAGTTTCCATGGAAACAAGGTCTATCTTAAAAAGTGGAAGTAATCTCTATTGTAAGGAAGCCATGTATATTGTTGAAGATATGGAAAAACCATCTGCTCCTTAAACCAAGAATGTCCCATTCCAAGAATTCCCTGGGTCCTTGTGGGCATGAGAAGGGGTAAGGGAAGAGAATAGTAGATAGCATACTTTGCCTAGGTCCCAGGTACTCCCTTCCTTTAGGACTTTGTGTAGAAGGTACCTGGTTTTCTCCTTCCAGGAGAACAGTGGCAGGGCCCAGTGCCCAGCCCTGTGAAAGGCAAACTCTGAGCACTTGCAGAAGAAGAGGAGCTGCTCAGCCTTAGGAGCCGGCTCCTTCCTCCCCACAGCATCCCCATCATGGAATCCAGGATGCTAGGGCTCTGCATTCCCATATTCTCATGTTTGGGGCATATGTGGCATGATCCTGAGCTTGCAGTCCTGGGGTTGTCCTATTCCTGCTGCTCACAAGTGCCTTAGGTAGGTCCCCAACCATCATTGTTTCAACCAAATAAACTCCCCATTGGGGTAGACATTTGTGTGTCTGTCACCATCTCGTGTGTCTGGTGTATTCTTTATTCTGTATCTGTTCTTCTATGGAGTTAATGAAAAGCAGTTCCCCTGCAACTTCTAAGCTTGGTGCCAAGGGAGAAAGAAAAATGACAAGTAGGAAAATCACCCGTTATACAGATGAAGAAACTAAGGCTGGCAGTAGTAACTTGCCCAAAGTCACATAACTAGGCATCTGCAAAGCCAGGACTTCTACCTCAGGCTACCTGTCTTTTGAACATCTTCAGTGGTAGCCAATCTTTGTTCTTTGACAATGATGTAAGTTATGGAAACAGCTGGAAATAGTTTGTTAGGTGAGTACAGCTCCCTTCTACGATTCATCTTTTGGTAAATCTGCCAGAGTATACTAGGCTTGCTGAGCCATTGATCTAAGACTGTGCCAACTATAGTGAAAGGTGAAATACTCTAGGCCAAAGTGGGGCTATGCCTGAGCCTGGACTGAATTTAGGCACTGACCAGTGTGAGCTGAGGACTCCTGAAGTGACCTAGACCCAGAAGTGATGAGCTGGGAATTGATTGGCCTCTAGCTAGAGATATTAGATTCTGTTACTGACCGGAAGATGAATAATAGCTTTAAGATCATAGTTAATGCAGACTTGGAAAGGACTTCAGAAGTCACCTAGTTCAATCCCTATCTAAACATGAATTCCCTATACCTCGTGTCCTGTAAAAGGTCTGTCAAAGCACCAATAAGCCACCTTCAGATATTCCAGGGCTAACAAAAAAGGTTTACAACTAGGGGAAAAGTGAACCTAATCCTACAGGGAGGAAGACAGAGCTTAATGAGATATAGGACTATTAAAAATTCCTCATGAAAAGCCAAAGCTGAGTAGAAACTTTGAGTTGCAAATACAGGAGTCAAGAAAAATGTAAATTTATTTTATAAACTGGAAGAAACTCTCTGATGAATTGTTTGCATTCAAATAGCGGAAAAGAAGCAAGTGTTCTGTCACATTCCTGTCTTCAAGGGTCATAGGGAAAGTTATTTAAGACAAGCCAAGTGACTGGAGGTGTTGTATTTGGATGGTTTTTAAAAGAAGAGAAAATGGAAGGGAAATGGGGATAAATGAGGAGGAAAAAAGGAAGAAGAAGGAACTTACACTGTCATAAAAAGAGTTCATAAGATGAAGTGTATAAAAATGTGCAGGAAAGGGGGGAGTTCCCGAATGGGTATCTCATCAACCTTCCTTTCATGTCTGCTGGACAAAGGAAAGTTGAACAAACTGTGATAAATATATAATGTAACAGTATTAGAGGCTGCTAGGTAGCACAGTGGATAGATTGCCAGTCTTAGAATCAGAAGAATTCCTCTTCCTGAGTTCAAATCCAGCCTCAGACACTTGCTACCTGTATGACCATGGGAATGTTACTTAACTCTTTTGGCCTCAGTTTCCTCACCTGCAGAATGACCTGGAGAATGAAATGACAACCCACTCCAGTATCTTTGCCAACAAAACCCCAAATGGTGGGTCAGGAAGAGTCAGATACAACTGAAAAATCACTGGACCACTAAACAAATTGCAATAGAGAAATATAATGTAAAAACACTCAGTAGTGGTGAATATAAACCAATCTGAGGAACTTGGAGAAAGCTATGGGAAATTATAAGAGAGAAGTTAGCAGTACCAGAAGAATAATATATACAATGAATATAATAATTTCAATTTTTAAAATAGAAAGGAGGCTGAATTCTGAGTACTTGTAATGATCAACTTTGGTCCTAGAGATTAGAAAGTGATACATACTTTCCTCTTTTCAGGAGAGAGGTGGGGTACTCAGGATGCAGAATGTTATGTACACACTCAGTCACTGCATCATTTAGATTTGTTTAACTGTTTTGTTATGGGGAAAGGGTGCTTTCTGTTTTGAATGCAATATAAATCAAAAGTCAGCAATTAAACATTTTTCAAAATAGACACAAATCTTTACTGAGATTTTTTTTCTGATTTTTTAATGTATTTATTTTTAGTTTTCAACATTTATTTCCACAAGATTTTGAGTTCCAAATTTTCTCCCCATCTCACCCCTTCCCCCACCCCAAGATGACATGCATTCTGAATTCCCCTTCCCCCAACCTGCCCTTCCTTCTATCAGCCCTCCCCCTTCTCTTATCCTCTTCTCCTTTTATTTTCCTGTAGGACAGGATAGATTTCTATATTCCTTTGTCTGTATATCTTATTTCCTGGTTGCATGTAAAAACAATTTTTAACATTCATTTTTAAAACTTTGAGTTCTAAATTCTCTCCCTTCCTCCCTCCCCACCCACTCTCATTGGGAAGACAAGCAATTTGATGTAGGTTACACATGTGTTGTCATGCAAAATACTTACATAATAGTCATGTTGTGAAAGACTAACTATATTTCCCTCCATCCTATCCCACCCCCTGTTTTTTCTATTCTCTCCTTTCACCCTGACCCTCCTCAAAAGTGTTTGCTTCTGATTACCCCCTCCCCCAATCTGCTCTCCCTTCTATCATTCCTCTCCTTGTCCCCTTCCCCTCTATTTTCCTGTAGGGTAAGATAGATTTCCATACCCAATTGAGTGTATATGTTATTCCCTCCTTAAGCCAAATCTAATGAGAGTAAGATTCACTCATTCCCTCTCACCTCCCCCCACTTCCTCTCCAGTGTAAAAGCTTTTTCTTGCCTCTTTTATGTGAGATAATTTACCCCATTCTACGTAGGAATGTAAACAGTTCAACTTTAATAAATCCATAATTTCACTTTCCTGTTTACCCTTTCATGCTTCTCTGGAGTCTTGTATTTGAAAGTCAAATTTTCTATTCAGCTTTGGTCTTTTCATCAAGAATACTTGAAAGTCTTCTATTTTATTGAATGTTTATTTTTTCTCATGAAGAATTATACTCAGTTTTGCAGGGTAGGTGATTCTTGGTTTTAATCCTAGCTCCTTTGACCTCTGGAATGTCATATTCCAAGCCCTCTGATCCCTCCGTATAGAAGCTGCTAAATCTTGTGTTATTTTGATTATATTTCCACACTACTTAAATTATTTCTTTCTGGCTGCTTGCAGTATTTTCTCCTTGACCTGGGAACTCTGGAATTTGAATACAGTATTCCTAGGAGTTTTCCTTTTGGGATCACTTTCAGGAGATGATACCCTCTGGTTCTAGAATATCAGGGCAGATTTCCTTGATAATTTCTTGAAAGATGATGTCTAAGCTCTTTTTTTGATCATGGCTTTCAGATAGTCCAATAATTTTTAAATTATCTCTCCTGTATCTATTTTCCAGGTCAGTTGTTTTTCCAGGTCAGAGATATTTCACATTGTCTTCTATTTGTTTATCCCTTTGGTTTTGTTTTATAATTTGTTGATTTCTCATAGTCATTAGTTTCCATTTGCTCCATTCTAATTTTTAAGGAATTATTTTCTTCAGTGAGCTTTTGGACCTCCTTTTCCATTTGTCCAATTCTGCTTTTTAAGTCATTGTTCTCCTCATTGGCTTTTTGGACCTCTTTTGCCATTTAGTTTAGTCTATTTTTTTAAGGTGTTATTTTCTTCACTATTTTTTTGGGTCTCCTTTAGCAAGCTGTTGACTTTTTTTCATGATTTTCTTGCATCACTCTCATTTCTCTTACCAATTTTTCCTCTACTTCTCTTGCTTGCTTTTCAAAATCCTTTTTGAGCTCTTCCATGGCCTGAAACTTCCATGGAGGCTTTGGATATAGGAGCTTTGACTTTGTTGTCTTCTTCTGGTTGTATATTTTGATCTTCTTTGTCACCAAAGTAAAATTCTATAGTCTGAATTTTTTTCCACTGTTTGCCCATGTTCCCAGCCAATTACTTGACTTTTTAACTCTCTGTTAAGGTAGGGCTCTGCTTCCAGTGTGGAGGGTGTACTGTCCCGAAGCTTCAGGGGTTTTGTACAGCTGTTTTGAGAGATACTTCTAGTGACGCGTAAATTTTCAGTTCTTCCAAGGTGTTATGATCAAAGGGGAGGTGTTTACTCCTTTCTTAGTCTGTGCTCTGGTCTGTGAGTAACCGCAAGCACTCTTTTCTGCCTTGAAACTTTGAAGATTCCCTCTTCACCGCTGCCCTAGCTCTGCCACACCAGTGCACCTCCTCTCCCCAGGACTGCGAGCCAGATCCAAGCACGGGCAAAGCAAAAGAATCCTGCCTCAGTGCCAGCAGAGAGATCCCTGCAATCCCCCTCTGATCAATCAGCTGCTTGTCTGTGAGCCAAGACCTCTGGAAGCATCCTCTGCTGCTGTGGCTGCCGCCCTGGGCCTGCACTAGGGCCAGGGCTGACCTGTGCTCCTCTCTCCCTTAAGTCTGACAGACCTTTCCCACTGACCTTCTGAGTTGTATTTGGCATTTGTGAGTTGAGAAGACTGGAAACTGTTAAGGAGGTGAATAGAATTTTAGGAAAGTTAGATATGGTAGACCTCTGGAGAAAATTGAATAGAGGTAGAAAGAAATACACTTTTTTCTCAATGGTACATGGCACTTCCACAAAATTTGACCATGTACTAGGGCATAAAAACCTCACAATCCAATGCAGAAAGGCAGAAATATTAAATGCACCCTTTTCAGATCATGATACAATAAAAATTATATGTAATACAAGGCCATGGAAAGATACACTAAAAATTAATTGGAAACTAAATAATTTAATCCTAAAGAATGAATGGGTTAAACAACAAATCATAGAAACGATCAGTAACTTCATCCAAGAGAATGACAATAATGAGACAACATACCAAAATTATGGGATGCAGGGAAAGCAGTTCTTAGGGGAAGTTTTATATCTCTAAATGCTTACATGAATAAAATAGAGAAAGAAGAGATCAATGAATTGGGCATGCAATTAAAAAAACTAGAAAAAGAACAAATTAAAAATCTTCAATTAAAAACCAAATTAGAAATACTGAAAACCAAAGGAGAGATTAATAAAATTGAAATTAAGAAAACTATTGAACTAATAAATAAAACTAAGACCTGTTTTTATGGGGGAAAAAAACAAC